TTTGGATTTTAAGTCTGATGTTTTTTTAACTTGGAAGAAAATATCCTGAATCCTGTCTGGGGTGCACATTAGTGTTTGGGTGTTACTGAGGATTTCATAGAAGTGTCCCATGTTCCACGGTGGAAGGATTAGTTAGGAAGAGGACATTGTTATTTACTCTGCTCCTCTAATGCTGCTGTGATTCAGAGGGAACTATTTTAAACCACTGCTCTTGAATCCAGTGGCATGGTGTCTTAGATGCTAATATGTTCTTGTGATTCAGGAAAATGTGCATGTATATACAGCTACCATTACCTTTGCCAGTGAATATTGTTTTTTGTGCCATGGGTAACCAGCTAGGTGCTCTCCTGGAATTTAGAGTGTAGGGGACTCCCCTCCCACTTTCCACCACTCACCCCGCCCCCCCCACCAATATTGTGAAAGATTCAAGCACAGTTAATGCTGAAATGTATTGACCTATCATATCCACTTATATGATGTCTTTAGATTATTTTTAATGAAAGTGTCAATTATAGGTATGGTATCACTGAGTCTAGAACAGTGGTTTCTCAATGTAGTTGAGCATCCAAATCATTTGAGTTAAAAAAAGTTACAAATTTCTAGGCCTCACCTCTGATTACAGAATCTGAATACCTGGCTGGGGCTCCAAGAAAACTCTTTGTGCTGACGTAATTGGCAGCATTGCCTTACAGAATAATCCTTAGGTCATATGTGGGGGTGGGGGTGGGTAGATGTAGGAATAGTTTGAGGATACAGAGAAGAACTGTTTTATTAACCACTTGAATCAGGGGTGGATTGTGGTATAGAAATAGCTAAATAAAATCTAACTTTTGTTCCTTTGAAGTTCTTTTTCAATCAGTACAGAGGTTTCTAAATTGGAATTTTCCTCTAACTCTAAGGATTGGGAAGGTAATGGAAGTTATTAAGCTGTTTTTAAAAAACAGCTTTGTTAAGATATAACTCACATCCTATTCAGTTTGCCTACTTTATGTGTACAATTGAATGGTTTTTGGTATAGTCAGAGGTTGTGCAGCCATCGTGGCAATAAATTTAGAACATTTCCAACACTCTGAAAGGAAGCCCTATATTCACTATATTATATTTAATACAAACAAATCTCACCATTGCCTAAGACCTTCCATGACCATAGGAATGCTTTGCGTCGTTCTACCTTGGTGGGCTACACAGCTCGTGGATTATCCAAGCCTTGGCTTCTCTTTTCACCCTTGCCTGCTGCATGGATTTGGCCTCTTTCCTTAGTTATTAGCACTTCACCTAAAGGGTAAAAGGAATTGAACTCCAAGGATGATTTTCCATTTTCTAGCTACAGTTGGTAGAGGATCTTTGGCCATTAGCAGCCTGGGAATATCTGATTGTCATTATATATACTTGGATTCATCAAAAGGTAGTTTGTTTTGACGTGAAGAAGGGCTGTTTTATAAACCGTGCAACTCCGACAAGTATATTGCCTGTTCCACCTACCTCGATTATAGGTTCTCAAACTTCAGCGTGCAAAGATTCAACCAAGGAGATTTCTGGGCCCTGCTCCCTGACATTCAATTTCCATGGGATGTGAACTAGGATTTTTGCATTTAGAAAATTGTCCCCACATCCTTCTGATTCAGATTGACTAGGGGCCAACTTTGAGAAATACTATCTGGGAGTTTGCACTTTGCTGTTCAGATACCAGCACAGCCTTCTCCGTAGTTAAATGCTTGGCAGGTAATAAGGTTTAATTATAGTGTATACAGTTTCCAAGGCAACACATTTTTTGTCACTTCTGCCTACCACGCTGGGGAGATTGAAAGGGACCACAGAGAGTCCTCAGTAAAAGTGTGGCCTCCAGAGCAATGTCATCGAAGTGCTTTATGATGAGTGGGTTTTTGTACCATTCATCCAAGGGCCCGGCTTGATGGCCGCGGCAATAACGAAAGTAAACACATTAGAAGCCACAGAGTCAGTGGACTTCTGGAGGCAGCCAGAAGGACATGGGGCGGGATGAATACAGCCATGCAGTTGCTTCTATTTCTCCCACTCTGCTTCTTCAGATCAGTTTAGTCCAGAATGATGAGGATGGTGGAGGAACAGGAGTCGACCTTTGGAACAATAATGGTCGGCTATGGTAAACATAAGACCACTATTTCTTAGTTCTCAAATGGATAGAACTGTTCAAGTTCACCTGCTCTCACTTTCTGTCAGTCAAGGCTTGAAGTGACATTTATAGAGCACTGATGATCACATGTGAGGCAAACTTCCACATAGATTTCCTTGCCTTTTTGACCTAAATGCAAAGGTTCCACACTTTGTACATTATCCAGGTTCAAGAATGAAAAGGATAAAGTCCATACCACATATTAGCACGGGCCTCTGCTTTTGGGTTTTAGCTTTAAAGCTGGAGGGCAGTGGAGAAAGCATTCAGCTATCAGACTTTGGGGTCTGGTCCTGAATTCCATCATATAAACAGACTTTGTGGCTACATAGGCAGGTTCTCTAACTTCTTGGAAGTTCCGTTTCTACCTCTGGAAAACGAGGGGCTTAGACTTGATCAAGAGTTTTAACTTTTGATGGGTGACAACCCCCTCACAGAATCCAGTGAAAACTAGGAACTTTCTTCTCTGAAAAAAAAAAAATAAATAAATAAAATATATATACACATTAAAGAAAATTACATTTACTTTCCAGGGGACCATAGACCCCCTCCTAAGTCAGGTGATTCTTTAGGACTTTTTCAGCTCTGACTTGGAGTGGCCGGGTCCCACAAGGACCTGGGAGTCTTTCATTGTTTAGAATGGCCTCCTGAGGAATGAGATGTTTGCCGAGGGAGTTTTTGTTGTTCCTGGCATTTTTACTAACTGCCCTGTGCATTTAGAGGGGAGAATGAAACCACACTGAGAAAAATAAATAGGGAATGTGTGGCATCTGGAAATATGAACTGTTGTCCTTATCATTTTTCACTATGGTGACCCTTCAAAAGGTGGTGGATGGTATAATCGTCACATGAAGGATCTGTAGAGGTATTAGTTTGGCATACAGATAACTGTATTTTGTATAATGATGGTTAAGCAGTGACTTAAACTTGTTCTACTTTTAATGTTTGGGAAGTTGAGGTAAATTTAAAGATTTGGTTAACTTAAAAATGTCAGAAGGCTCCAGGGAGTAATATCATGGGTGGATAAAATATACGTTCTTTACCACGTCATAGCTCTTAACTCCGACCACCTTCCTAACTCAACCCCAATCTCCTGCCCAGGGCCCAACATTGTGAGCCAATCAAGGGGGGATGTCTGTAGTGTTGATTTGGAAACCTGAGATACTTAATTTCTTTCTTTCTCTGCTTAGGTGCTGAAAAATCTCCTCTAGAGCTTTGGAAGTTGAATGGACTAAACATGAAGAGCTTGAAAGCGAAGTTCAGGAAGAGCGACGTAAGTACGCGGTGACTCACCGTCTGGCTGCTCCGGCTGTGCTCCCGAAGCTGCAGGCACGGTCCTCCACTCCTGCCTTGATAAGGCGCTGGGTTAATCAACTACAGAAACTAGAGCACTCTGGGCCCCGGCTCGGGGTGGCTTTCGTGAACGGCATGCTCCGGGTTCCTTGCTGTTTGTGTGTATAGCTTTCAAAACTGACATATTTAAATTCCTGCAGTCTGTGCCTTGTAGCGAAAGGAACAGTCAAACATCTTAAAGAAAGGAATCAGTAAAATTCTTAGCACTTCTAAATCCCCCAAATCTGATTCAGAATGTCATTTTTTAGAGGAAGCTAGTCTCATGAGACGGGTGAAGGAAATACATATTCGTATGGTTCATCTTTAGCTTTAGGGAGCTCTTTTTAACTGCTAAGGCTTTTGTGGTAAAACAATAACATCTGTTGCTGCCTGCACCTTCACTCCCCCTGAATTCCTGGGGTTCTTACTTGTTCGTTACCCATCTTAAAAGACTTTGGATTGGAGGAATCAGCTATGATGTCAGCATTATGAAACTTTGTCTCCCAGAGGAAAAAATGGAAAAAAATAACACAGCAGTAGGATTATACACAATGATATTTTAACAAAAGGTCACCTCATAAACTCTGCTGAGATTCCAGTCTTGTACTAGCTGCATTCCAGATGCTTCGAGTAGAATTATTGAATGGGAGAAATTCATAGACGGGTATCCAATGGAATTCTAGATATGTCGCCCTCATAATGGGCTTGCTTGGTTATCATTTAACATTAGATAATTAAAGGTGAACCTGGATTTTATTGCTTTGCCGTGAATTATATGACAGCTTGGCACAACCACATTTTTGCAATAAATGGAGGCTGTGTCTTTTACGGCTAACATGTCATACACACACACCTCCTTTTGGCTGAAGCTTATCTCCTGAGGCTGCATCATGACATATAACTTACTGCCGTGATAAGACCCAGACTAGAGAAGATGCTTGTGGGATGACTGCAGAATCTTGTCTCGCTTAAAGAAGTTAGAGCTAGAAAGGGCTTTTAAAACAAAGCTGGTTTCACCTCATTCTTCAGGTAAGTTAACCAAAGCTCAGAGAGTGAGAAATGCCTTGGCCAACGTCATTCAACTAGCCTTTGGCCAGTGAAAGCCTTGACTACCTACTTTGTTAGCTCTTTCCTTCTGCCACTCTCCTGAGAAACCCCCTTCGACTTCCTCATCTGCTGGCCATATGATACTATAGCCTACAGATTTCATTTGGCTTTCTGCTAAGAAGGAAAAGGTAGTTAAATGGAAAATGTTGCCCAGCTGAGCAGATCTGGGTTTGCAAATTCTGTGACCAGGTTAACAAATGTCTTTTCCATGCCAAGGGAATTTGGGTAGCTTCCATTTATACAAGTTGAGATTATTTTAGCAAAATTTAATCAGTCTGGAGTTGCATGATATATGAATAGAGGCAGGGGGAAATGATAGGTGCATAAACTTTTGGTTTAAAAATTAAAAACTGGTGACAATAGGGAGGGTGTTGCTGGAATCTAGTTTTTAAATAAAAACTGAAATATTACCACAATAAAAAAATTCACGGTAATAATACTATTAAAAGCTTCTGGGGTTTGGCAGCAGAAAGGCTGTTAGTTTGGCAGTTCGTGCTAAGAGAAGAAATGTTGGAAGAGTAAGCTTTAAGGAAGGAGAACGAAAAAAATTGGTATAATAGGGCCAGAAAATATCCAATGGCTCCCCAAACTCATCCCAAACTGCTTCTCAGAACCATACCACTGTGCAGCTAAAATGCGGGGGAATAAAAACAAAAGGAAAACCACTTCGAACCCCGCTTTCTTCATCAGCTATGTGATGATAGTAACTACGCATTATGGAGTATTTGTTGTTATGTCAGGTGCTATGCCAAGTCTTTATGAAAAACCATTTAATCTTACCACAACCTTATGTGGCAGGTATTCTCCTTAGGTTCATTTTACAGGTGAAGAAACTGAGACCTAGGGAGGCACAGAAACTCGTCTGGCTCCTTCGAGCTCTAAGCTGAACAACCAGTTTTTGTGCCAAAGTCGCCTGATTCCAGAGCCCAGGTTTCCTGAGAGAGGGAATTTGGCTGGAGATTTGAGTTTCTGAAACAGGGCAATCCCGGCAGTCGCTTGGAAAAGCGACTTTGGACCTAGGTGTGTGGCCTTGGGCAAATCTCTTACCTTTCTTGAACCTCAGGTTCCTCCCCTGAGAAGTGGAGAAAATATTAGCCTCACAAAGTTGTTATGAAGGTTAAATGTGCTCGTGTAAAACTCACATTTTAGGACCTAGCACTTAGGAGATGCTTCATAAATATTTATTCCTTTCTCTTAATGAGAAACCCACGATAAAAAGTGGGATTGGAAAAGTGTATATCATCCGGAGGGCAGAATAATCTGATAACAGTTGCTACCTCTGAGGAAGAAAACAGAGCTGGGAGTGGGTAGGAAGAGGGGCTGGCTTCTCAGTGTGTGCCTTTTGGTTGGACATTTTTTGTATGTGTATATGTAATCACTGGTTACAAGAAAAACAAATTTTAAACTTTTATATTCAGTTAAATGAGCCAGATTATAATCTTTATCCGAAACGAGTGGTCCTTCTCAAAGAAGGAACCTAAACCATCAGCCATTACATTTTCCTGCTTGTCTTTGTGTGAGGCTGAAAGGGGAAGCAGGAAGAAAGGGTTCTTTGTGTTTCTGGGGGGTAGGAAGAAGAGAGACAGCAGATCATGTTCGTGCTTTCACAAAGAGAAGGCAGGTGACCCACTGGCGTGATCGCGTTTCAGCCAGCCTGTGTCTGGGAGGTCTGCAGCTTGATCAGCTGGTGGCCACTGAGAGCGAAACCCAGGAGTGAAAAAGGACAAGAGTGGCCCAAAGGAGCCCCTTCCCCACCCCCCGTGGGTGGGCTTCAGGTTACTCTGCCACCCCAGGACCACCATGTGGGTAGAGATTTAATCCGAGTGTCTTTTCTCGGATTAGAACACTTAGATGACTACCTCATCAAAGGTGGGATTACGTGAGTGTAATAGGGGACTGAACCTCTTTCTGTGGACTGTGGTCAGATGAATGTCCTTATCTAGTTGCTTTAATCCCTGAATGCATTTGGGAGCCTGCAGACTACCCACAGAGGCCAAAGATAGTTACGGAGCTAAACACTTGTCCTTCTACAGCGGAGGGCATTTTTCAGTTCCCCGTTATAATTTTATTTTGGGCATCCATATACTTGGGTTAGATAGTAGAGAGAAGACAGAAGAATGTGAAGTATGGTTCTTGTCTTTAAGAAACTAACCAACTGAGGTGGGAGGAGAAAGATCACACTCAAGAAATAATTAAGGCAAAAATACGGATCGTGTAGAAGAGATATTAAAGGGACCTTCAGAATGGTATCAACCAGTTGTTAAATTGCGGGGTCTGGATGGTAAATGCTGTAGATTTTCAGAGAGGGGTGAATCACTGGAAATGGGAACATTTGAGAGAGCTCTGCAGAGGTAGGGCTTCTTTCAGGTAGAGGATGGGTAGGATTTGGAAGGGTGGTTAGGGAGGGGAGAAGAAGGTAATGCAGGGGAACCAGCCATGTAGCACAGTGGGTAGACTCTGTCTCAAAAAATTGCCCTTGACATGTGAGATTGTAATTCTTCATTCAGGAGCCCAGGAGAGTGACATGGTTTTGAGTCTTTTACTAAGAATACTATAAATATTTCATTCTCATTTTTAAAATGGATATCATTGATTTTTATGCTTATAAAATGAGCACAGTTTTAAATCGTCATTATTTATATCTTTTATGAGTACAGTTTGAAAGTGACTTCTTTACCTCTTTAAATATTTGCAGCAACTAGTATGTGGTTCCACATGGAAAAATGAGCTGTCATCATGAGAAATGAGGCCAAGAAGTCTGGGATTTCCCTTTGCTAATAAAATGCTCAGGCTTCTGGAATTTCTTTGTAAATGCCAATTTTTAGTGCCTTGAGTGAAATGGGTGGAGGTTGACGGATGGGAAATGGGGTTGAAAGATCTTTGTAACAAATCTTGAGACATACCTCTCAAACATGATCGAGACCTTCAGAGTTTACTTTGTGGGCGTATGTTTAATTTTATGAAAGATTTGTTCCCAATTATGTTTTCCATTGTAATAGGAAAGCACCGGACATTCCATAAAAAAAAAAAAGAATCAAAGCAGCCAATTCAAAATGGCCGGCTCCATGACAGATTAAATTGATGGTATTCTTTACACAGCAGTTACTAACGATTGTAGCTTTCAGCCAAAGAAATGCACACACCCCGTGAATCTTGAAGAACCAGACACATCCCGCTCAGACAGGAGTCTGAATTTCTTGCCTGTTTAGAGAACAGCTCTCTTGAAGGTCAATAATCACATCTCTGCCAAGGTATTTTTTCAAGGAGTTTTTAGTCCTTTAGAATACGTTTTTACAAATGCCCAAGGCTCCCTACACACACACACACACACACACACACACACACACACAAATGGGAGTCTTTAAAATCCAGGTCTATTGATGGAGGAGCCCTAGCCAAATCTATTGTAAAGCCAAGCCTCTTTTCTTCATAGACATAATTTAAAAATACATCAGAGGTGACCTTTGTGGGTGGAGATATGAGACTCTTGTAAACTTCTGGAGAGAAATTTGGTCAGGTTTGTGTCATGCTGCATATTTTCCAGGTCTTGTCAGCCCTTCTTAAATAGGCAATCTGTTTGCTGCCTGATTTCACCTTGTATTAGATGCCTACGGCTGCCATAAACACAAAATGAGTGGCTTAAACAGCGGAAATGTCTTGTCTCATAGCTCTGAATGCTAGAAGTTTGAGATCAAGGTGTCGGGGGCGGGGGGAGGGGGTGCTGGTTCCTTGTGAGGCTGTGAAGGTGAATCCGTACATGTCTCTCCTTGCTACTGGTGGTTTGCTGGCAATCAGTCACTGGCTTGTAGATGCATCAGCCCGATCTCTGCTTTC